ATGTTACATGTGTAAGATTTGCCCCGTTCTACAAGAGAAACTCCCGTGACACGTGTGGTTCACAAAAGAGGTTTACTCATGCGTAACGTAGCGGTTACAAGCAAAGCCAGGACTGGCTTGGTACATTTACATTGCTCCTTTATAGTTGTCTCAATCCCCCCCCCCCACGGCCCCATTGCTAGGTTACATATTACAAATTAGATTACCGATTGCCCCCTGTAATCCCCCCCTTCCTAGAATGGCAGGTTCAGCCCAGTTCTCTTGTTTCTTTGATTGTTGCATGGTCGTTGCCTTCGTTGGGGCTTCTGTCGCGCGCACAGCCGGGAGCTCCCCCTCGCGCACTGATCTCTTCCTCAATTCCGGGGCTCTTTCCTTTGTCTATAATGCCCGCGGCTCTCTGGCGTTAACACAATGCATTGGCTCCAGATTAGTAAAGTGGCGCCAGGTGGCCCATTCATTAGTTTGCGGTTTCGCACTTCCTCTTTCTGCGCTGGCGCACGAGCGGTGAAATTGACTAAAGTGCGGCTGGGCAAGTTCCTAGCCGTGCAGCGCCGGCTGAACCTGACAGCATGTGGGTTTAAACTCCCATAATTCTTTGGCTAACATAGCCATTGTTTAGAATTCTGGAAGTTAATCCATACATTTAGAAGTTGTTCAGGTTGGGAAAAGCTGTTATACACGATACACATATTAATATATAAACAAGCTTGAATGCAGCTATTCAAATGCCAGAGATGATGATTACTTATCAGAGTTACTGTGGCTACAGGAAGCCTCACATTTCAGATTTTCAGTTTAGAAATGACAGCCTTAAAAATGGAGAACAATTGAATTCACCAAAATACATGAGCTTTTTTCAAAACATAATATTTCAAAGGAAAAGAAAACATGCATTTAGGAGGAGGATGGTTGTTGTCGGTAATGCATAAGCATGCTTTATTACATGTATATTAACATAGTGGTAATTTTAGATACTTACATTTTACATTTGATATTTAACATAATCTTAGTGACTCTATTTTCACCTAGTACAGGCTGCATCTTAGATTGCACCCATAAAGTTTAGTTAGTTTTATAAATGTATTTTAATTTAATTTTAACTTTTAATTTTATTTTATCCTAGGTTGGTATCATTTTTAGACTATGTATACTTTTGCAGAGCATCATCTTTGTACTGGTCCAAGACCGCAATAAACTTGACTGATTGATTGATTACATGTAACGAAACAATAGGTCCTGAAAAATTAAGACTTTGTCTGTATTAGACTGGAATGTTTCATTCCTGATATGTGGTTTGCTTACATGTTCCATAGGCTCCTACCGGATTAGGAATAGTAAGCTCTGAAGAAATGCAGGTAAGTTGTGAACATCATACTCATTCACATATCGGATAAGAAGGGATAAAAATTGACCTTCTCTTTAAAGACACCAAATTGTGCAATCCAAGGCTGAGAAACCCGTGGATGTGCAGATCAGGCTTCTGCTTCAGGGTTTTTAGAGCTAGTAAGAGGAACATAAAGCAGAGTGGAGCGAGGCAAAGCTATTATGGCCAGAGATACATATTTAATTGGAATAGTTTTGAAAAGCAAAGATAGATTGTCCTTTGCACCAAAGGGGTGGGGACTTTATGCAACATGTACTTGATGAAAGGACTCTGCCCTTCAACCTTAAAAGATTCTCTAGGGGAAAAAATGGGCTGCACTATTACAAATGTGAAATATTCTGTGCATTTCCATGGACAGCACTGATAAGAAGGCTTGCATAAAATAAAATTTTCCTTGGCATATGTAAGATCAAGTACTGATAAACATTATTACATTCCATTGATTTCTGCAGAATTTAGCACATGCTCATTTCTTCTACTGAAATTGATGGGGCCCAAAGTACTTGTTGTGTAGGAAGGAAGGAAGGGAGGGAGGGAGGAGGGAAGATATTAACATCCAGAAGCTTTGGAGTTGAATAAGAAAGTGATTTGCTATCTTTGGAATATTTGCAATTCACCTACAAATGAAGCGATAATAAATAAAACTGGTATGAACACAGCCAAGATGAAAAAGACCCTGAATTTTTTAATTTATTTGTGCAATTTATCTACCCCCTCAATCCTCATGGGCTTTAGGCAGTTTATAGATATTAAAATAACAATAAAATAAAACTATTAATGATATTTAAAAAAGAATAAAATAAAACTGGAGCACTCCATAAGTAAGCATCCAAGAGCTTGACCTCTCCCCTCTCTTTGTTATTTTTTTTTTTAATTATATTGGCTGCTATATTTTTTTACCTGATAAAAAGACACCCAAAGTTTACTGAACCTGATAGCACGTTACCCAGTGTGGGAATAAGAACAGCACAATCAGAGACAGAATTTTAAAAAAATAATAACAAATAAATGTATTTGTTTGCTTATTCACAGAAACAGCAGGGCTACTTTCATTCATGCAACTGTTTCTCAGGAACTGATTTGGTGGGACTTGGCTGAGCCCCAAGCCACATCCTGATTCTGATAGTGATTTCTGCTCTTCTTTTTTGCTCTTCTGCCACCTCTACAATTCTTTTTTATTCTCAAAATTCTCAATGATCTACTACTCTTCTCCTGCTGCTGCTGCTACTACTACTCAGTTTTCCCCCAAAACCAACCCTTAGCTGATTGATGGTCCAATTTCAAATTCCATCTCAGCCTAGCTATGTCATGTGTCATTTGTCCTCTAAAGGCATCAGTGCCAACACAATATTTACTTTCTGGGACACTTCCCACTGTATAAAAACAGTTTAGATGTTCATTCCCCAAGTTTGTATTTAGGATAGCATGCTAAGCACAAAGCCAACACTTTGCACTCACATCGCCATCTTTTCCCCATATGATTGTCATTTGGTTCTTCAGAGAGATCATGGTCATTCATGTATTGTAATTCTTGTTCTTTTTTTTCCCCTAGGGTGGGGGATTTGGTGCACCAGCCTATCGAGCAGCAGGCCCCCATCTCTTTCCCATGGATGCTAGATTTGGAAATATGCCACTGAATAGAGGCCAACCAGGAGACTACACAGTTGAAGATGATCAGCTGGGCATCACAGAACAGCCTGAAGTTCAAGGAGGAGCTAATCTAGGGTCCAACCCTTCAGGGAGAGGGAACAATGTAATCCCTGTAGATGGCAACCTAGGGGTTGCCTTGCCCAATGTCAATAACAATCTGTTAAACCCTGCTGCTCAGAGTAAAGGGCAGCCAAGTGCACCCCAAGCCACTGCATTGCCTCCAGCAACTCATGATAGCTTCATTCCTTTGGAGGCTGCTGACACTGCCATGCCTTTGGATCCTACCATGTTTCCTGACTCCTTTTACTCAACTGGAGGAAATGAGGCTGGCCAGCCACAACTCAGTCAAAACAGCTGGCATTTCCAAGAGCCCTGAGAGTCCTTGAGGAAAATATGCCGCTTGTATACTCTTCAGGTATTATTTCTTGGGCTTGAAAGGATCTTTTATCCAGTGAGCACCAAGACATTCAGTGCATGAATCGATTAATGCAGCTTGTCGCAGGGATGCCATAAGCTTTGCTGCAGTTTTTTAACATTTCACCTTTGAGAAAGCTTTGGAAGCGCCAGATGATCAATGTTAAAAACTACTTTTGGTTTCCTGTCTGCTTAAGTGATCAGTTGCCTGTTTAAGCTCCTTAGCTTTTATGTGCTTTACGTCCTTGCCTGGTATTTTTTAATACAAATCATTTATGAAACCTTTGGCTTTAGACTCCATTCAAGACTTATAAGCAGGTACACTGCTCTGGAGGGTGTCTCTCCAATTCTGATTAGATGGCTCAGTGTATTGCATTCAGTTATTTAGGCAGCATGAAATAAACATTTATTTAACCACATTACTGATTCTTGTGGCTTCCTTTTTTAAAAAAAATGATGGAATGAGAGAAGACTATGCAAAAGCTGTTTCCAAACTAATCTGAAGCTGTTTCTTTCATATTTTCTTATTCAAATAACCTCCATCCTGCACCTTATCCACAATACATGTAGGTTCAAGTAACATACATACATTTTTTATCTAGGGCGTTCATTTGATAGCAAAATTATGATTCTTTGGAAGTGGAGCCAGTAACCATACAATAGAGCAGACTGCTGACTCTTCTTGGAAAGAAGGGTTGTAGGTTGCAGCCATGGAATCCTCCTCTGGTTTGCTGCTCTGTCGTCTGTACAAATAGTTCTTGTTTAACGAATGCCTTGTTTAGCGACCATTCGCAGTTACAACACTGATGAAAAAGTAACTTGGCCACCAATCCTCGCATTTATGGCCTTTGCAGGTCTGTAAAGCAAAGATGAGCTGAAGCAAGATTGAAAGCACAGTCGTGGTTTCACTTAGCAACAGCTTTGCTTAATGACTGGGTTGCTGGTCCTAATTGTGGTCACTAAATGAGAACTACCTGGACTTCAACACTAGTAATGATAAAAAGACGGTGGATGTATCATAGTAATAATGAGAAAATGGATGAGGATGTGGTGGGGCAGAACCCAAAAGGAGGAATGTTGAGGGTGTACTAGGTGCATGTCTCTGACATGCACCCAGAATATGGCAGGAAGGAAGTATATTAGTCCTGAAGCTAGCAGACTTATGTTCTATTCAGACAGCCCCTATCTCCTGTCTGGCGGGTATATGCATAGCATGGTTTTAGAACTGGTAGCTTTGCCACAATGGATTTTTTTTAATCCATCCATTTTGAATTGCTCTACTCATTTTCTTACTTGAAAGGCTGAGACTCCCAGTCTTATCCAAGAAAGTGACCTCCTGACATGTCCCAAGCCATGCCTCCTCTGGACAGATAAACTCTGTCCTTAATGTCTAGTTTTATAACTGGGACGCAGCAACTGACATTACAAAGCTCCAAAACTGCTGCATCCTCAGAATCTAGGATCAGGGCTCTCTCAGCATCTCACATGCTATTTCCAATCGTGTCCAGCCAAATGCCTCTGCAAAGCTCACAGGGGAAGACATAAGAACAACAGCCATTCCTCATTTTGCTCCAGCATCTGATATGAAATCCAAGCCATGCATCATAATAGTCATGTATTTCTCTTATCATAAAGAAAACAGTAGATATGGGTCATGGTCTGGAGCATTCCTTTGATCTAGAGAGAGGCATTGTGCCAAATTTCTGTTGAAAATTCAGTTTCTCCTGGTTCCTTTTGGCCTCTGAAGATATATTTGCTGCAAGTGCTCACTTTATCCCCTAACTAGTTGTAGTATTCTGGACTGGGGAAGGAAAGCATGCCATGATACACAAATATAATTTGCATAATTCTCCTTTTTACTTCTGGAATTACTGGTCATTTTGAAATGGGAAAAGGAAGTACCAATTATTCTAACCAAGCATATGTTGTTGAATTTAAGAACAGGCAGGGAAGCGGAATTGTTGAGCATGGAATGGCAATCCAAAACCAACACTTTGATCATTTCACTGTGGGAAACAGGAACAATGTTGAACTAGCAGGACCAGAATGGAAGGAAGCCAGTTTCTACCACTATTTTAGGGGAACTGAAGGATGGAACAAACTAGCAAGAAAGGAGTGTGTTCTAATTCTCAAGTCCCTGGGGGAATCAATTCTTAATTAAAGGAACTATGTTTTATTCCTGAAGCATGCTTTCTGATGGGGCTTGGTGAAATATCCTACTGCCTCACGGATTTGTGTAAGGAGGAGGATAGGATCTGTGTGGGAGCCACTGTGGATGTGAAAAAGGATCTTTCTTTAGATGGCAACACAGTGCTTCCTTCAGGTCCTTCCTTTGTTTGGCCCAAAAACACCTTGGGCAGAAGTTGCTCTTAAGATGGTCCAAAAACCATCTTGAAGATCCCAGGTCTTGTTTGCTACTGTAGCAATACATGTTTCTGAGTCCTGGGCTATGGTTATGATCCTTGATGTGCTCTATCATGTAGAATACACATAGTAACACATAGCCACAGTGTCTATTTGTGTAGTTCTTAGAATCCCATCTGGTAGAAACTGGTAACAAAGTTCCCAACTTCTGAGATGGGAAATAGATGAACATTGTAATGTAAGCCTTAATATATGGATTTCATAGTTAAGAAACAAAGAAAGGAACAACCAGACTTATCTCTGTCTACATATAGGATGCGGTCCAACTCTCTCTAAGTCTAAGTAAACTTTCTTTTTTTTTTTCCAAGCAGACTGAGAAACAAATGAAGTGATGATGATGATGATGGTGATGATGATGATACAAACACTTTTGCTTTCCCTAAAATATAATAATTTGCTGTGAAAGTGGAATATTGTGAGAACTGAATACAAAACTATCTCCTATTGAGTAAAAACTGAAAAAATGACTTATCCACATTAAATTGATAATCTATTTAAATTTGTATTTAAAGTATTTGTATTCAACTTTCAGTTTCTCCTGGGTAGTTTAACACATCTCAAGTTTCTCTCATCAGTTCGTGAATCAAAACAAACCAAGCCACCTAGCCAAACCTGGGTGATCTCAGCAAACCTAAGTAGAGTCCAACTTGGGTAATATTTGGATGGGAGACCAATAGAAAATTCCAGGGTTATAGATTAGCTTAGGAAATTAAAAAGCAAACTGCATAAAAGTAATGGCAAACCATTTCTACATTGGTGCCAATGAAAAATCTTTTTTTATCAGCAGGCATTGAGTTCAGCTAGAGGGAGATTTCAAACTTTATGAAGAATCTATTATGTGGCATTTGCACATTTTTCCTAATAGTAAATGTACACATTTGAACAAAAGCTCTACATTCTTATCAAAATGTGATCTTCATGAAAGCCTTTCCCATCCATCTACTCTCACATCAACAGTTTGAGTGCTTTCCTTAGATTTTGTTATCCAATCACTTGACATACACCATATATTTACACGAAAGATGAAGAAATGCATCATGCAGAAAATCAAAATGAGATTTTGGCTTTAGAAGTCAATTCCAAAAGAATCAAGAACATATGTGTAAATACCATTATTCCTTTGTTCTCCAAGTTACACCAGTCCTTCCAGTCATTTCAGAAGGATAAGCGGAGTTGTTAGGATGTGGTGGCAACAAAGAAGTTAAGACCTGTTTTCTGACCAGTTGATATCAGAGGACAAGGGTGGATGGTCGATATGGAAAACACAACACAGTAGAAGCAGGAGGACTTGAGCATCCATTATTAAAGGAGTTCTGCACATCAGTACAAATATGTGCTAAATCTATCAGTGTAATGTGGCTCACATGAAACCAATTTCCCTATTAGCTATTCACTCATAATTCCAGAAGTGAACTCTTCCCATAACTATTTTGAAGGGCTTGAAGAAATGCAGCGGCTAAATAACCAGCGTGATGTGGAAGACCCCTTTTCTTTTCTGCATATTGCAAAACATGGAAGGAGAAAAACCCCTTCTCCTCTAGATGTCTAGGGGGGATAAAGAATCCCTGGGGAACACAGGGAAAATGTGTTCCACCAGAATCTGAAAACACTGGGATGCAAGAGTCACCATTCTCTTTCTGTATTTTCATGTACTTTCAAATAGCAATGCAACCAGAGTGGGCAACTTGCTTTGTGGTGCCCAGTGAAGGCACTGAAAAATATGGAGACATCCATAACTCCTTTAATAATAGCCAACAGTTCACCCCACTTTTTCTTGAATACCGTAAAGATGCTAAAAAGACTAAGAAGGGCAGTGGAAACATGCATATTGGCTCAAAGCTCAATATTTTTGAATCTCTACTCTTCAGTTTTGTACCAGTACTGTGTACCCTACCCAAATATGCACTGTTGTGGCTTTAAGCATCCCAGTTCATGGCTGCTTAAGACACTAAGCTAGGAATAGCAATGAGCCTGCATATATTAGGTGAATGTATTGTTAGATACCATATTACAGCCTTTTGCAAACATAGTGCCCCCCAAATAGGTTGATTACAATTGCTTGCATTCTCAGCAATGGCCATACTAGCTAGAGGAACTTGACTTGATTATGTGCCATCAAATCATTTTTTACTCCTAGCAACCAGATAGATAGATTTTCTCCATGACGATCTATCCCTAACCTGTTCTTTCAAGTCTCCCAATGGTGCACTTATCACCACTGTAACTGAGTCCATCTACCTTGCTCTTGGTTGTCCTCTTCTTCTCTTGCCTTCCACCTTTCCCAGCATGAGAGCCTTTTCCAGAGAACTGGGTCTTCACATGATGTGTCCAAAGTAAGATAATTTGAGCCTGGTCATTTGTGCATCAAGTGAAAATTCTGGGTTGATTTGTTCAATGATCCATTGGTTTGTTTTCTTGGCTATAAAGGAACTTAGATGAAGATTATATTGTACTTCTGGAGGATACTCACATTGGGGAATTTATTTATTTGGGCAGTTTATATGGCTGTCCATCTTATAGCAGTGAATACTAGTATAT